TATTAGTGCAGTCATAATCAGCATATGACTGAAGAGTATTGGAATAAATATGCCGAAAAGAAACATGGCACAAAAATACATTCTGAATGCAGGAGATACTCAGAGAACACAGACCAACCATAACAAATGGCACGCGAGCACCAACTTTCTCTCATAGTATATGAGCTCATCTGAGTGACAGTTGTGACACTAAATTGTTTTGATGCAAAGGTCCAAAAAAATGCATAGACATTCTTATCTCCGTTACAACAACCTACCGTTCTTTTAAGTGAAGCCCACATCAGAGCATACTTACCTAAAAATGATATTGTTAGCCTAGATGACATTATAGAAGACTTTTGACAAGATGTTTTATATGAACCTGTAATATGACTGACTTGTCTCTATCCCCAGTGCTTTCCAATAAACATACTTTTTTTTAAAAAATAGAAAACACTCAAGTAAGATCAATGCAAATGTAAGATCCATACTGTCTGTCCATTTTAAGTCAACATCTATTTCAGTAGGACAGTGTATGAAAACAAGTGTACAAAAATTAGATTCCTAATAGTGCAGTTTCAAAAACAGTCAAGGCATTGGTTCATTCCTAAACAAACAAACAAAAAAAACCCACCCCCAAAAAAAAAACAACCAAAAAAACAGGAAGACATGATCACATCCCTGCTCCCAGACTTGGTGTTTGGCTCCTTACACTGCATCAGCTCTGCCAAAGCTTTCCAAAAGCTGTGAAGAAAAGGGACAGCGGAGAAACAGGACATTTCAAATTTGTACAGTAGCTCACCATTATTGAAATACCTTGTAGAACATCTTCTTTGTGCTGTAATCCAATTGTGACCACATACTATAAGCTTTCAGAAAGAGTATTGGTAGTATCACAGATCATCCTGTAGCCTTAATGAGGCCTGGGACAAAATGCCTGAAATTTGAGAGCTGTCACAACAGTTTTGATAGCACAATTCTGACAGTCTGACTTGCTACGTGTGCGCACGTGGGTACGCCAAGGATGTAAAACCTATTGGGATAGTGTTAGGAAAGGGAGATAAACAGGCAGCATCTCATCCACACTGTCCATAAGTGATCCCAAAACTATTTCAAAATTACATTTGAATTTTATCTCAGAGACAATTAGCCCATTCAGTCCAGAAGACAGCCCAAAAGGGAAGTAATACAGATACAGTGCAGATAATCAGAAAAACTGGTTTGCTAAGTTAATTGACAGAACAGACAAATTTTTGACGGCAATTGCTCAGAGGGGTCTCTGCTTCAAGAGATGGTCTCTCCCATTACAAAGAAAACCGGATGGGTAACTTACTATTCATATTCTAAACACTATTAGTAACACACATTTGCTAATAAACAAGCATGAAATTCTCCATCATGCATTCACTGTCAGAAAATATGACTTATATCTGTTGGAAAGACTGAGGTATATTCAGTATTTCAGGTTTTTATGGTTGTTCTTTGAGCACATTAACATTCAACATACTCTCATTAGTTTCTCTTTTGAATTATATTCCTGCTTTCCAAATTAAAGGCTAACATGCTTCTCTGATTGACAGGTTAAATTACTTTATTTCTTTGCCTTTTGGGACAAGCTAGTAAAGGCATTTTTCCTGAGGAGAAATAGGAATGCTTTTTTAAATTATCTTTTATTTTTTATTTATCTTCAGCTTGACTTTTTGTTACTAAAAGGAAGGAAATTCCCCCTGAAGCCCACCACTTTATGCTTTTTAGTTTAATGATACAAACATCTTCTGAAGTACAGAAGTGTAAACTCATTAGTAGCATTTCAGATCTTTCTGCTGCAGAAGCCTCGAGGAAAGAAATCTTAATACAGAATATCTGATTCTAGCAATGAAGTTTACATCTTAAACCAAATTATAACAACCAATTATATGCCATCCTTCTATCTCAAGTTAGGATTTCTCTCTGTTCATTCTGAAAGAGGCTTGATCTTAATTGGCTTTATGCCTTTCCACCTCTGTCATGACTTATTTTTGCTTTAAAAGGTGAGAGGCTGAAAAGTGGTATTTCAAGGTAGCTTTGGAGAACATAAATAAGTCTTTATGAATGTAATAAATATATTTAATAGGAAAGTTGTCTATGAGCTACATAATAAAGGAGTATCCTAATGCAGACTAATATATTTATACAAAAATTAATTTAAAATAACATATTCAAATAATAAACCTAATTAATAGTCATAAGCAATCCATCAGACTGGAAAAAAATAACTAGCCTGTAGATATACTACAAAATAATCTGACTGAAGAATTGTAGGGTTTATATTTCTTTTAGGTTTCAGATACGTAGATTCTCATGGAGTAGCAAACACACAGTTACAATACTATAACAGGAGACAACAATATCAAATGTGTCCCTGTTTAATGATGTATTATATTATCATGTAACACTTTGTTATTTGTGAAAAATGTATTAATTACGCAGCAATTCTTCTTGTGGAAGAAACCAAATGAGAAGAAATGAAGTGCACAGTTAAACTAAAATAGATGTATAAAGTTCTATGAAGAAACCTCCTCTAAGTTGCTGCAATACAGAAGTCATAAAAATTCATGTGAATAAGTTTATATATTAAGAGAAACCCACATAAAGCCAAAAATATACATTAACCATACATCAGATGCGGATTTGTCTGAAAGAAGACCACAGAAGAGTTTATCTGAAAGAGAAATCCTGCTCTGTACCTAACATCTGGTCATTTCCCCTTAAATCTATGAGAAAATCCCTCCTGGACTCCATTTAATGCCTTAAAGAAAAGATGACAGATAGACCCATTACCTTTACAAAACAAACGAAAGATAAGGAAACCTTTGTTTAGAGCTCCATCTCCCACACCCAAACAGCAAATTGGATGGGGTTTTTTTATTTGAATTATCACTTTATCTGATTTACTCTTACCTTTTGCTTTAATCACTCCTTAAAGCATTTTAAAAATACACTACATCTGCAAATATTCAACTAAAATTTGACATAACATCACAGTAACTGCAAAAATATCCACAATATTTATGATTTCTGACAAGAATCTTCCAACCCTTTAACATTTAGTAAAGTGACTGGGCACTGCAGTATATTTTCTATATCAATAAATGATTCAGAAACAGATGGTATAAGTTCCATAAACATTTCACACACACAAAAAAGCCATTCCAATGTTTTTCCTTATAAGGAAAAGCCAGCCTTAGGCAACCCTGGATGCTAACTTTAGCAGCATTATTTTGGAGAAAAACAACCTTTAAGAAAAGTAGGTTTTGTGTCATTTTTAGCATGATGGACTAAAGGTCATCTGTCACCTTGCATTGTATATGGTTGTTCAAGACAGCTGTCTGTTGAGCTCTGACTTGTAAATGCCTGTGCATCACCTCAGAATATTTAGCAAACTGTGACCTTCATGATCATCTTTTCCATTCTCTCTCGTCACTTTCCCGCGTACGAGTGCATGAGAAACAGGAGCATCAGAAACACTTCTCCATTCCATTGTTAATTCAGAATCCTAGACACTGTATTTTACTCAGCAAAAAGCACATGCATTTCCTATAAATTGTTTGATGACAAATTGTATGGGAATATGTACCATGAAGGTAGGAAGATATAAATGAAACCTGAACTGTGAAGACAGGTAAAAGAAGAGCTAAGGAAGTCACCAGGACTGTGAGGATGAGAACCTACCAGGACAGGTTTCTGCCAGAACTCCAAAAGTCACCATACCGGTCAGAACTTGCAAGGAGCCCCATGAGCCCACCCATGCAAAGTGATCACAACATAACCATTATGTCTGATATCTCTACTCCTAGATAGAGCTGTGGAAGACCACGGCCTTTCACCCAAGATTGCAGAAAGCTTCTCGTGCCATTTGTACCCATCAAGCTTAAGGCCAGTACCCTGCATAGACAGATAAGCAGTACTCAAACCTGCACAGTTAAGAACTGACAATACTTTTGGGCACAAGTTAAAAGGACAATGGCCTCATGGATTCCCTCTAGCCTTCATGATCCAAATCCCACTTCTGCATCAATTCCCCCACTCCTACAGGGTCAGAGGTCAGGCCTTTGCTAAGAAAGGCATTGATTAAACCAAACAGAACATTTTGTCAGCTAGGTAGTCACTACTTTTCTACTGCTATTCCCCTGCCTATGCCTGGACTTAAGCCCTTGCAGTAGTCTGCAACCCTGTCTCCTCCCACACAGGTCCTGCACACTCATCCATGCAGCTGTGGGCTGCGACAGAAGTGGAATGCAAAAAGCATCACCAGCCCCTACAGTCAAAGGTCAGTGTGCTTCCTAAACTCCATGTAAGATGGTACAACAAGATATATTCAAATATGCCCTTAAAAAGGTCACTTTAGGGGAAAAAAAACAAACAAACAAAAAACCCCCCAACAAAACAGCAAACCTCTAGCAGTCCTGAAAGTCAAATAAAACATATTCCAGCCACAAGCATGAACATGGAGATCATTATAGGCAAAGACAAGAGAGGAAGCACAAAGAGCCCAAGTGTCACAGCCATATAAGCATCTGGCAAGACTTCCAGAGCAACACCGTAGCCAGCTTAGCCCTTCACTGCTATGAGGCCTAAAGCCAAATTCCAGAAGAAAAGAACTTCCTTTTTTTCCCCATAATCCCCAGGGCTCACTGATTCTTTACAAGGAGTGGTTCATGAACACCAGGAATACATTATGAAGAAGTACTCAGTAGAAGCTTAGAGGGTGCAGGCACAGCTCACAATTCTACCTCTCTACTTCAGTTAATAATATTAAATTCTGATCCACAAATAACAGAAAACATTCATAAGAATAAGTGTTCTAGAGTAAAATACCCATTTAACAAGCTTTTTCTGTCCACCATTTACGTGAAGTATGACAACTGCTAGACTTAGATGAAAACAAACATTTCATGTGTTAAAAATATTAGATATTTTATATAAGTAATATTAATTTTTAATTCTAATTAAAATGTAAATCTTTTAATAGGCTCACTTACTGGATGTTTAGCTGAAAGTCTGCCAGTCACAGTTCCTGTCTGGTTGCATGTAGGGGAAATAAATCCCTGTAAGTCAAGTACAAGAAAAATCCCCAAAAAGAAAAGGACGAAGACATAAATCTAAAGCTTTATTTAATATAAGTATCAGCAATAAAAACTCACTGCAATCAGGACTAAAAAAAAATAAGAAAGAAACACTTATAATTGTCCAAATATAAAAGTTCTTAAACTGTAAACTTTGCAATCATTTCACATCCTTTTACTATTTATTTGAAAGACTATGTTTTACAGGCTTTTGATATGTCTACCTTTCTCATGCATGTTCGTAGTCCATCCACATAAGTTGATTTCATCTTATGAACCTAAATTACATAAAAGTTTAGATAAATGCCTGTTTATAAAAATAAGGTATTTTTCAAATGAAAGATTTTAATTTCCAAATGCATACTAACTGTAAAGCCCCCTTCCCCCCCCCGCAAAAAAAATACCATACAACCCCACACTTTTTTTTTTTAACATCTTGAAAACTCATCCATTGAGAACCCAAACATTAAGTGTGAGAGCACACCAACTAGGTCAGTTTGGATTTTCAGGAGTCTCATCACCTAAAAAAAACCCCATAACTAGTTATCTCCTTCACTTTCTGCAGAGTATTTCTTCAGAACTCAAAAAGTAAAAGTTTTGCCCCAGGATTGTGCTTTATAGCACTAGACAAATCCAACAGTGAAGTTTTCCAATTGATTTTGCACAGGTTTTTGCTAGATATAATCTGACATAGTGAAAAACAGATGTATAAACATTAAATTTAACTCTCAAGAATGCCTACAACTTCAAAATTTAAATTACTATTTGAATGAAATTACATTAGAGACATCTTTTATTTATTTAACTGTGAATGTTATCTTTCTTGCTATTTTTGCTTCAGTGCAACTACATTATGTTAAAAATATCAGCTCACCTGACGGTATTCTAAAATTATCTTAGGCAAAGGATGAAGATCTTGCAACTTATTTAGCTGTAAAATAAAGAACGTGAATTATGGTACACTTTTCTGTTAAGTTATATTACTTAACAATCTTAACAGACTAAGTTTTGGAGGAAGAAGTTTTCTCGCCAAGCTGAATGGATAAAATACTGGCTAAAGAATAATGTCTTTCAAGCAATCTTACCCTAGGCCCAAGAAAGCCTTTGCTTTTTCCTGCCTTCGGCAGGAGGGCTGGAAATTACCCCTGCCCATTTGATTTCCCTTCCTGTCCCTGACAGGGACAAAAAGACAGGCAGACATAGAAACTTCCACAACAACTTTGGAAACACCGGGACATGGAATGGGGGAGTTACTTATGGTCCTTTGATTATTTTTTGTGCTAGACAGCATCAATGCAAGGGAGAACATGATAAAGGTATACAAAATAATACATATGTACACACATATATATTTATACACACACACAAAATCCAACAGTACAATTTCTCCTGTTCATCCCCTAATACAAGTTCCCAAAATAGAGATTGGATATTTAGAAGTACAACAAAAATATCTGGACCTACAACAGTTCAGGGTGAAACATAGATGTAACTGTACCAGAACGGAGATTTTAAAATGTGAGGTTTTTTTCTTGCTACCAGAGAGAGACAACATACTACTTATCTAGACCACAATGGAGATTTAAAAGCGTAATTTTTTTCTTGCTACCAGAGAGAGACAACGTATTACTTATCTAATATTTATCTATTGGAAGGTTTCAGCCTATCTTTAAATAACCAAGTCTCTGCAGTTGGAAAGAGTAATGGACTAGATAAAAGCATTGCTTTCCTTACTGCAACAAATATGTTCCCATAAAAAGATGACATGCATTCCATTTCTCTGATCCCTCCCATGTCCTAAGACTCAGTCACTTTTCAAGATTACATATTTGATCTATGAAACCTCCTTCTCCTTGAGTAGTGTGTGGTTTTTATGGTTATACTGTTGACATTACCTCAGAGATCATATCTGGCAGTTCAGACACTTGGCCCAACAGTTGAATTTCCTTTTTCACACAAGAGAAACAAATACTACTTTTCTACCATCCCCACAGGTGTTGATTCTCAGCAATGAGTTGTGTACTTTGACTTCCATGTAAACCAGAGCAATACAATTACGGCACCAAATCAGGAACAGGCACAGCTTCTTGTCTTCTAAGAAGGAATTCCATTTCTATTAGTATCTTAACAAAATGTTCTATTAGTGATCTGGACAAGGGGATTGAGAGCACCCTCAGTCAGTCTACAGAAAACACCAAGTTAGGCAGGAGTGTTGATCTGCTTGAGAGTAGGATGGCTCTACAGAGGGATCTCGACAGGCTGGATCAATAGGCCAAGGCCAATGGCATGAGGTTCAACAAGGCCAAGTGCCAAGTCCTACACTTGGGTCACAACAACCCCATGTAACACTACAGGCTTGGGGAAGAGTGGCTGGAAAGCTGCTTGGTGGAAAAGGACTGGGGGTGTTGGTCAACAGCTGGCTGAATATGAGCCAGCAGCATGCACAGGTGGCCAAGAAGGTCAACAGCATCCTTGCTTGTGTCAGAAATATTGTGGCCAGTAGGAACAGGAAAGTAATCATCCCCCTGTACTCAGCACTGAGGAGGCCCCACCTCAAATACTGTGTTCAGTTTTGGGTCCCTCACTACAACAAAGACATTGAGGTGCTGGAGCTTGTCCAGAGAAGGGCTACAAAGCTGGGGAAGGGTCTAGAGCAGATGTCTTATGAGGAGCAGCTGAGGGAACTGGGGTTGTTCAGCCTGGAGAAAAGGAGGCTGAGAGGAGGCCGTATCACTCTCTACAACACCTGTAGCAAGGTGGAGTCAATCTCTTTTCCCTAGTAGCGACAGGACAAGAGGAAACAGCCTCAAGTTGCACCAAGGAAGGTACAGGATAGATATTAGGAAAAATGTCTCCAATGAAAGGGTTATGAAACACTGGAACAGGCTGCCCAGGGAAGTGGTTGAGTCACCATCCCTGGAGGTAAGGATGTGGCACTTCAGGACATGGTTTAGTGGTGGTTTTGGCAGTGTTAGGTTTACAGTTGGACTCGATGATCTTAAAGGTCTTTTCCAAACTAAACGATTCTATGATTCTATGAAAAAGAGACATCCACATTTGCCTCAAGGTATCAACAAGTCTGCAGTTTGGTCTTGACTTCATCATTTTTAGACAAGTGGTTTTGGCAGGTTTCTGCACTTGTGTGGGATCACACATGAACATCTGCATTGCTGAAAATAATCTGCCTCAACACTAACAGAAGAAAGAACTGTAGAAGCTTCATATGTACAATATTTGTGCACTGAATCTGAAGATACATTCAATCTCTTGCACAGTTGTCTCAAAGTATCTAAACTGTTTGGTCAATATTGCTTTAAGGGAAAAAATTCTATCAAGATCCTGCAGATCTGACTCTAAATGCAACCACCCTTACTGAAGATAAGTGGCTCCACAAAGGGAAAAAAAAAAAGCCTTAGGGAAATTCATGCACACAAGTAAAACACTGGACCACACAAAGAGACAAGTCCCAATTCAAACCACAGGTATCAAATAATTTCCTACAGACCTCTTTACCTAGCATGAATGAATGAGTTAAGGGTCCATAAAAAGATGACAACACGGTTTTAGCCCAAATGTCCTGACAGCAAAGAGAAAGTTTGGGTTGCTATCTTCTGCACCGACAGGTTTTACATTAATGTTCTTTTCTTTCACCTAATCAGTCAGTCATACTGAGATACCAAAATCTGACCAGTAAAAAAGCCTCTCTTCTTTGAGGAACATGGCGATACATGCATGCTGGTACTAAAAAGTTTTTAATCCTGGTTTATAGCTGAAGTTTAGCTTCAATAGCTAGTTTGTTTTTCCCCATCATGGACTGCAACTTTCATTTCTGGCATAAGTAAATGAAATGTAATTAGTACAATACAAAAATAAATCAAGACTGTGAGGCAAACTTTAGACAAACAACTGTTTCACGGGAATTCGCTAAATCACGCAGATGGTTTTAAAACCCCTCCCCATCTCACCACAACTTCTGAGGTAGACACAAGTTGTTGTATTTCAGTTCTGTGAACTTTCTCACACAGTACATGCAGTTTTAACTTTTCAAATAGTACCTACAGGAAAAAAAACACACAAGAGAAATGTTTCAGTGTTTCAATTGCTGAAACAAAGGAAAATTATTTGGTGCTTGAAGTTAAGTCTAGAAAACAGATTTCAAGGGAAATAGAGCATACCATAGCAAGGAGAACAAACAGAATTGAAAAGATCAAATCTTTATTTTTGAGCTATTGAAAAAGTAGCATATTTACTAAAATCAAATGCATAATTTATGTAAATACTTTCAAACACAGATTATCCAACATCAGTTCTTCATAAATCTGGCAATATGTCCTCCATTAAAATCAGAAAACAAGATAATTACTGAAGAAAGAATTCTGAAGTTGTAAGGACAATTTTATATGCTTTATAATTCTTCTGTATCAATAACAATTTACAGAACTTACAACTTACATAATAATAGCAGTACAAATATTACCTCTCTGAGTTGACTACTACTGGTCAAAAGGAATTGTTCTCCAGCAACTTGATGAGCTTCCTGTTCAAGCTCTTTGAGTCGCAACTATAAATTAGTACATCAGAATTACTCTGTTTACATTATTATTTTCTTCAATATCTGCTCCTTCCTAGGTTAACAAGTATATTGAACTTCTACTTAAAATAGGGTGCTTGATAATGTGTGATCATTGCTGGCTGTCAACATTTGATTTAGTAGATTGCTTATATACTCTTTAATCTGTATTTCTTCATGATCTGGAAAGGGGATTTACTGCAGTAAAAAGGACCAAAATTTGTAGGAAAATAATTTAGGTTATAAAAGACTATAGAGATCTGTGAGAAACAGAGCTATGCAAATCATTCTGGTAAATTAATAATCTGTCAGACCACTATGATTACCTAGTCAGATTTTATGCTATAAAACAGGATTTTCTTGTAGCTATTTTTATCAATAGGGAAATGGCAAGCTTAGAACTCTCAGAACACATAAGTTATAAAGAGTGTTTTATTTACAGAGAGAGATATTTCTATCTCTTCTCAGGAAGATGGTTACTTATAACTGTAGGTTCAGAAAGAGTCATTACAATTTTTACTCTACAACACATAACCCAAAAGGACCTGTGCGTTTGCAAAGGAATCTCAGTTCTGGGACAAAGCCAATTAAGCAAATGTCTCTTGTTTGCTTGCCTAAATAAACATGGAAGTAAAATGAAATATCATTAGTTATATTTACAATAAAAATTCTAGAAACCCCAAACTGTCATGTAAAGATGACAAAACAAGAAGAGATTCCTCCTCTTTTTAATCAGTTATCCTCAGTAAAAGCAGAAAGATGACACTATACAATTTTCAATAGAAAAAAATAAAGGCAAAATTTACCCCCAGAATCTCTGATGTTTTTTTCAGTTCTTGTTTGTTCACATGTATTTTGTGTGTTTCCATCACTGTAAAGACAATTATATACTGAGGACACTTACAATTGACAATTTTGACCTTACATGCTTCTTAGACTGTAAAATGGACACTCAAACTCACACAGCTGTTATGAGGCTAAGATAACATTTAGTATTCTGATGTATAACATTATACTTGAGCATAGTCAGCAGCTGTGTGAAAACAGGGAAGATTCATATTTTGAACTGAACTTTCATACCTGCCAGAATTTTGATAAGTGGAAGCTCTAATGTGCAAAATAACTTCCACAAACCTTGAACCTGTAAAGCAACATACAAACAAATTCTTCAGTCTCAGCCAATTTTATCTTAAAACATACAGCAGTGTATCTATTTTCCAGTAAACAGTATTTCACTTTCTGTATAATCCCTTTTTATAAGACAACGCCGTTTCTGGAATGAACTACTAGTTAGTGTGAACTATATTATCTAAATACCATAGTCCATTATCACTTCATTCTGGACGCAATAGTAATATTTTTTATTACTATTCCTGTATAAAATGATTACTGCTACAAAATGTACATCCCTCATTTTTTTAAACAGTTTATTTTTAGAGCAAGCTCCATTATAATAGGACATAGTTATCCCTCTTTATTCACTTGAACAATTAAGCAATCATTCAAAATTCACAATTGTGTTTACATTAGAAAGTAAAAGCTGATGGGGTTATGTATCCAATTTAGTTACAAAGAACAGGAAGTCTTTTTTTCTCTAACCACTGAAGCAATCGGACAGCAACACTTGCCTAAAAACTCTTCCTGTAGACCAGCTCTCAGCGTTTCTGTGCCTTTGGTGTTTCCCTGTTGCCTTCCTTCGCAGACTATTTCATCTAATAAGACAACATCTAAATTTTCATCTAAGTCCTACACTTGCTACCATCAATCTCAAGAAAAAACCCTAGGATCCTATGATGTACCTTCCACCAGAGAGGACATCCCTAAGTTCTGACACTTTTCCAGGCATACGATTACATATGAAAACAACACACACAAAAAACCCACTAAAAGACATCTTGAAATGCATTCTGAACTGCAATAAGGGCTAAAATAGGATAAAATAGTTCACTTGGAAGGAACCTGCAACAATCATCTAGTCCAACTGCCCAACCACTTCAGGGCTGACCAAAAGTTAAAGCATACTATTAACAGCATTGTCCAACTGTCTCTCAAACACTGACAGGCTTGGGGCACTGACCACCTCTCTAGGAAGCCTATTCCAGTGTTTGACCAGTATTTGGCTAATACAACCTAGAGCAATAGATATGCTGAGTTTTTGTACTTTTTAGACTGTTTCATACAGCTTTAAAATACCAAAAGAAAAGTCACAATATTTTGACCATTTCCTGTTCTTAGAATTGTCATTTAAATATTTAGTTAACTGTTGCAGAGGAAAAGTTTCTTCTGAAGATTAACCTTCAGACTAAACATTTCCTCCTTCTGGAAAAAATGACAAATTTCATGGACAACTTTATTTTAAATGTTGACCAGCACTGTAAACCAGTAAGGACTGAAGCCTTCTATTTAACTCAAGTAGAGATTCTGATTTGAATGAGCAGCACATTACTGACTCTCTTGAATTCATGATAACACATCAGAAGTTATATCTGAGTAATTACTTTTTACATTTTACCTGTAAGTCATGAGCAAGGTCCATCATTACATTATAAAGTTTCTCCAAGTCCACACCTAAGTTTTGATACTGATATAAAAAAAAAAAAAAAGAGTTTTAATGCTAACATAAAAAGACTTAGAACGCTATTTTAAAAGATATTAAACTATATATATTTTTCTGTATGTCTCCTGTGATATTTAACATTTTAGAAATATTCTTAGACCTCTGACAAACACAGTTCATGCACAAAGCAGTACAGTACATGAATAGTCAAGATTTTACCTGCTCCTTTATTTACATTTTGCATAGATTGAGTATGGAGAAATGGTATCACTACACTGCCTTCAACATTGAAGTCAGAATTCTATTATTAGTTGTAAAATGAGGAAAAATGTGTTGCCATATTCTTCCTCCTATCAGTACTACCACTCTTCTGTGCCTGAACTATTCACTTCCTTCCCTTCTGTTCCAGAGGTGTTCTGCACAGAGCCATGCCACCTCATTCAGTTGGCTAGAAGACCATTTTAAAATGCACACAGACACTGCGAATATGATCTTTAGCTCCAAGAACATGATCACTAACAATAAACTTATGACAACCAATAAATTTGTTATCAGGCTAAAATCACAAAATGTAAACAATAAAGTGCTGCTTTTCATTACTAAACTCCTATTAGGAAAACTGGGAACGTAAAAAATGCTGCATACGAAGTTTTTCTTTCCTGCAGACTTTATCTTCAATGATGACTGAACAATCAAAATTATGGAATAAAATAAGTCATTAAGTGCAAAAACACTGGCACTGTGTTTTTACTGTCCTGTAAAATTCCTGGACCACAAACCATAGAACCTAGGACAGCATTCCAGAGGACCAAAGTTATGCACTGGCCTGTTCATGTACTGTTCCCCAGGAATCACATACTGATCTGTGTTGGAGGAAGGAAAATGTTCCATGGAATTACGTATGATACATTATGATAGTTCTTAGTTTATGTAAAACAGGGAAATTAAACTAAGGGTCATTTGTGTAAAGAGAGACATTTATTTTGTGTTTATAAATAGTTCTGAGGATATAGCTGAAGAATTGGTGCAACCTGGCCACAAAACTTTAGGACAGACATTAAGAAATGTCATATAGGCTAAAGAAGGAAACCAAACATCATAGTAAGTTTAGAAAACACGTCCTACAGAGAAAGAGATGAACCAGGTTTATTTAGTTGAGAAGAGTAAGTTGAAGAAGGAGCAGGTAATAGTTTTTATAGAGACTCAAATTATTTTCTTGTACACTAGGTATAGAACAATAGGCTTAATAGAACTTGCTTAATGCGCAGACTACAGGGTTTTTTTTCATGAAGTTAGACTAGCATGTCTAAGGGACAGTCCAGATTTTGACTGCTTCAGAAGTATGTTTAACATTTTCTTATTAATCTCAAGAATGCAGACTTTATTGCTAACCACATAAAAAAATTAAACGTCCCTTGGGCACCTTGTAAGCAATCTGTCTTCAGGTTTATCATTCACCCTATGTGTATTTTAAAGGAATTTGGATGATTCTATGTTTGCTTTGTTATTTGTATTCCTATCTTAGAGCTGAACACTAAGAGGAACACTAAGAGGGGCTCTCATGCTATGAGCCGCTGAAGTCTCTCTTACAGACCTGCAGCTAAACTATAGCTTTCTTACCTTACTGCCCTCAGGAAATACTTACAGTTGAGAGAAAAAAAATCTGCTCCAAAAAAAATATATTCTGCGTTTTCCACTTAAACTGAGCTAGAAAGTGTTTTCCTTACCAGAGTAAGATCTCAGAAATTATGCTACCAAATCTGACTTTGCTACGCATTTCACAGTTTCATGGGTTTTGATACATTCAGAATCTTTCCTTTGGTCCTTTTCTGATGAGAAGGAAAGAAAAGGATGTTTCTACTTGTCATCAGATTTATTCTGTCCTCTAAGACTGTATAGAAAATGCACACAATGCTTCGGTTTCAATGAAATGTCCAATATCTTGTAAAGAACAAAACCAATATTCTATCATTTGGAAGAGTATATGCAATGTAACTAGACATGATATCACTCTACTAAACTGGATGTCATTAAGTTAGGAATTATGGACTAAAACAGAAAGATTGCCATTGAAATTGTTGCCAGGAATATTTTGTTAAGAACAGTTCAGATGTCAGAATACTATGGTCCTCCAGTGCTTTTAATCTCTCCAGCCAGAACAGTAGTGCTTTTGAAGCAAAAGCAATTAAGAATAATAAAAGTGGTTGGCAAACCTTCAAAATCCTTCCTAAAGCAAGGTCTATACAGTCTAAACAGATCTCCAAATTAAGGATTTTTTTAAATTAAAAAAAATATATCAAAATTAATGGACAGGGGAGGATCTTCCTCTCTCTTCAGGGAGGTAAGGACCCTTCTGAGTTTGTGAGAAGGTTTCTCTGAACATCTTTTTCAATCTGAACAGGGTCTTTTGCAGGAGTTGCTCCCTGAGCTGGATGCCACTATCTCCTCCTTGTCTTCAGGATGACTCTCAGAACCTCCTGATTGTGTTTTTAAGGAGTGAGGGCAGGCACAGACTGAGACACCAGTACACCTGAACACTTAATTCTGTGCTCTCACAGTGCAACAGTCAGCTGTAAATCAACAGGTAAACATAATCCACCCCCCAAACAGTGTATTAAAATTTTCCTTGTACAGAAAACTCACAATTTTGTGCTGTTTGCAAAACAGCCCCATTATGTGAAGAAAAACAGAAGTTTGGAACCAAAGCATTATAGCAGATGCAAACTGACAAGAGCAATGTTTCATCCATTATTTGATCCAAACAGAATGCAGAAGGAATCCAAACTACTTGTTGCTGCACAAACACAACAGAACCAGAACTGACTGAAAATTAGCTTATATTAGGACAAATTATAACACATTACTGCTACAGAGGCAACCATTCTGGTGCACAGCTGGGGAAGAACCATCACAGGAACTTTATCAAATTGATCCAACTAATTTTTAGGAGAAGAGGAGAAATGCCAAGCGCAACAGAAGCATGGAAGGCACCTATTAGTTACAGGAAGTTATGTTTCATGCTAAAAACAGAATTACACGTGTTTCAGGATAATCTTTGCTGCAGACACGTTTTTCTACCACATACCATAAAACAATGGGGGCACTAGTGTTTCAGGCATTCAGAATACACTTAAGCCTGGACCATAGTTGTTTTTATCTTGAAATGACTATCTGACTGAACAGCAGATAAAACTAAGCAGATTCTACACAAGCTGATGTCTGTCAGTGGGAAGCACATCTCGGCAAAGCCCCAGCAGCAGAAAAGACTTCGAATGGAGTAATGAATTCCGTTGAGAGCCCATGTGGGTTCCCCATCTGCCCAAGAGCTATTAGCGTATACAACTTCAGCATTGTTTGTGTTGGTTGGTTGTGAGTAGACAATATGGACACCTACTGTACAGGCTTCCCCTCTGCCTACAGCAGAGTTGAACACCGCAAGGCAGAAACGGTGAGCCCTTGAAGGTAGGATGCAGAGGGCTCTATTCAAAGCTGAAATATCTAGATCCACTGGTACTCATCCTTTATAACAGTCTGGTCTTATCAGTAAGGACTTCTCTCTACCCCAGACAGATTACTTTAAGCAGGCCCATACACCACTGAAACGCCATCAACCTGTCTCCAGGAAACCTTGTTCATACCCACTGATTCCGGAACAAACAAGCTGTGTGTGAAACACTGTCCCTCCAGCAACAGACAGCTTACTTGATCCCATTCAGGAGGTGGAAGTAAGCCCAATGACCGGCTTCAACTGACACCAAGATTCCTCATCAGCAAATGCAGCAGTGACAGAAGTAGCATGATGTCTAGCACCTCTTTCAGCAAAGGTTTTGAAGTATATGGACTAGGACCTCTTTTACTGAGCCTTTTAGAACAGCACCAAATATACAGACAAGCAGCAAGCAGTATATATTCTGTGCTAGAATGTGCATGGGCGAGTAGCAGGCTACAGAATAAAACAGCAGTCATTTCAAGTACTATGCTGGGTGGACAAGACTAGCACAATACCAAGGGAGCTTAACTGAAGTAGTGGGACACAAGACATGATACATCACCTGGCCTGGATCCTTCTGGGAGTACAGACAATTGTTAGGAATCTACCAGCAGAGTCAGAGCAAGAAGGCTGAAGAGACAAACCTGGCAAAGAACTAGGATTCACATGAAGAACAGGGACTCACTGAGCAAACAAACAGAGAAGCCAAAAAGAAAGTGGGAGAGTCGAGGGAACAAATTAATTGCATAAGGAGTGGGGGTAGGGGGTTTGGAAATAATCACAGGATGTTAGAGGGAGGCATTAACTGGGACTTGGGTGAAGAGGTCAACATGAAGACACTGGAGATGATTGGGACAAGGAAACAAACTAGACCTGAAATAGGGCAGGAAGGAAATAAGACTTCAATATTTAACTCAGAGCTGGGAATCAGGATGACAAAGTTGAGAAATGATAACTAAGAATAGATGTGATATATGAAGAACAAAAGACTGAGTCAAGCTAAGGATGGAGACAAGATTAAGGATGCTGACTCACAGGAGGGGATGTCACATATAGAAATAACCAACAAGTTTATAGCTTCTGCCTGTTCGCCTGTCCATTCCCTATGCTAATAGTTTAATGCATGAAGTAGCTTCTAATCAACTGTAGATTACAGCTAGTATTTTAAAGTAATCAGGCTCTGTTTTTCTTGGAAACGTCTATACTGATGGGTATGTGTTGATACACCTGACCTCTGTCCATGCTCTAAGCCCACTCGACATCAGTGGATTTGTATCCTGGAAGCCCTATGAGCATGTTACAATACTTGTGTCTGAAAAAGCAAGGCCTTGGAAAAGTGAAAGGTTTTTTTTTAAAAAAAAACACAACAACCATCAGTTAGGTTGCTGTACACATATGTTTAGTATTTAAACAAACTCTGAAGACTAATGTGGCCTGAGCAGATCATCACGGCCCAAAAGACAAATACTGAAATTTTACAACATTCAATATATTCCAACAGACATTAGGACATTTCTATAGTGCTGGGAATAACTTCATTCATTAAGCATTCTCTCTTATTGACAATAAAATTTGACAGATTTTTCCTACACATGCTTGAAGAGTCACATTTGACACCCTACTGTTCCTCGGTCTACAATGTGGTGGGTTTTGAGTGGTTTTTTTGTTGTTGTTGTTTGTTGTTTTTTTTTTTTTTAACCAGCTGTGCAATTCATTAAAATTGTTAGTTAACTAAATACAGGCTACAAATTCACAGGATTAGAAAACAAGGCATTAGACATTCTGGAACAGATATCTGGAAATCAGTTTGCAGGAAAGGTGGAAAGAAATAAAGATCAGATTATATACTAATGAATACTGTTCCTGAACTTCATGGTTCTGAAGTGGAATTTTACAGCTGTACCTGGAGAATATGATCCCATCTTGGTAGAATGTAGTGAACCCTTCCCTTCTCCCCTTTCTTTAAAATTAGATTTCCAACAAGTAGTATTAATAAATAATTTCTTCCATCAGAAAGGCATTATCTGTAATTTTTTTTTTTTGGCAACACTAAGCAAAACCTATTGTTTCATCATTTCCTTCCCTTTTTAATCCAAACAATTTAAAACAAACTACTTACTGATCCGTTTCTCAAAGTGCCTGCATCTGTATTTACTGTTCCCATAGAAAAAGGCTTTCCAAAATACTTCTGTATTAAACACTCAAAGGAGGGAACTGTGTCGCTGGGGTTTATCAGCCACGCTGCAATCCTTGGATCTAACACGACACTATCAGCAACTACAAAAATAAGTTATTTCTGACAATCAAAATATTTAAATTACCTCCCATACTGAGAAATCCCTCTAAAGTTTTGCCTATCTTTCCTGTATACCCACATCATAAATAGGCAAGCATTTACACTATGAAAATGTTAAACATTGAATTCAAAGCTGTAACAAAAAAGATCATGACTACAAAGGATTATGTTCAATAGTGAATATTTTTGAAGAGGGATTTTTTGTGGATTTGTTTTTTGTCTGGGTTTTTTTTTTTCCCCAAAGTTTTAAAATGTAAGTAAACATCTGGTTCTTAAGATTGACTGTAAAAGCCTCTCTTTCTTACCACTGCAAAATTTCAAATTGAAGTTTTCCTTGTGAGTGCCTCCCTCCGATAGTTTTGTTGTTGCTGCCAGCTTGATTGATATCCACAAAATTGCTATTAGGGGTCAGGGGAGAGAAGATTTACTTCCTAACAATCAGACTTCCAAAATCTTTAATGTATGTATGAATTCAGATATGGGTGCACAATGCATTGTTCTCAAAAATCAGAACCGTTTGTCCTATAGGATCACATGCGCTCACGCTGTACTTTTTTTCCTGTTCACAGAGACACATAGGATGGAGCAAGCCTAGTGCTGTTTCATGTTCCTTTTAACCACAATCTCAACATATGTACTGAGAGGAGAGAGAAACTAGGAACTAGAATGTTTTGAGATATATTCAAAGATAGATCTTAGCACTCTTCAGCAACCCCTAAATACTTTCAAGTGACAACCCACAGGTACATTTATAGAGAACTCCATGCTACGCAACCTTACAGACTCAGTTACCTGGAAACAAACTTTAACATCCATAGTGCAAGTTACAGCTGCAGGGCTATTCTAAAGAGAACCAGGCCTGATGATATAACCTTCACTGATATAACTGTTGCTGAAAAGAACTTCACATGGCTGCTCAGCAGATGTTAGAGAAGGAAACATCTTGCCCCTGAATCAGCTTGAGCTCTGCTGAAGTGGCCAGATAACAGAAGGATACTTCATCTGCATGGTCTTATACCAGCATTTTAGGTAGCTCACTATCCTTTTCTCTGAATGCAAACAGCTATCCACCTCAGAAGCTAAAAGATGTGAAGGAACAGCCTTGGAAATTTTCTCAAGGATACCCTCCTGATAGTACTACTAAGAGATCTTCTGTGATGGCAAGGACAGTATTAGCTCTGAAATTGTGCAGCTTAAGAAAGAATATCAAACTCTGCATCCACTCCAAAACCAAACTTTGGATGCGTCCACAGGATTTCCACTGCTCTTTCAGCAG